GTTAAGACTGGTGTGTGATTCCCCCCCGCATTCCCTTTATCATACTTTCCTTTTGGTTGGGGTGGGGGTTCAGGTGGGGCTTTTGGAGTGGACAGGACATTTTAGGATCTAGATTAAGCGGAAGCGGACATTTAGCTTGGGTTAATGGGACATGTATATAGTATACACAGGGTCCGGCAGAAGTAACGCCTGCTTGAGTGTGGTTGGTAGGGTAAATAATATGTGTGTAATAATTTACACTTTTAATTTGAATATTTCATCTAAAATGTCATAGGGTGTGCTTGAGCATTATATTGTTTTGTTACAGAATTACTTATGATTTTGTAATAAAAGATTTTGTAATAAAAAGGGTATTATTTGTGGGTACCAGGGCTCAGCCCTTTATATACACATAGTGTATTTCACGTATAGTATATGTGGATATATTTATAGTGTGTATAATATAGGTAAATACTATATATACTCTGCATATACGTACTGTATATAGACATATATACTTTGCATACATGAATATATAGTATATATAATTTAGATCCCCCTATAAACGTATTTTATGTCTGTTCTTTCTCGAGTACAGTGAAACCATCATTAACTGCCCCGGCGTGTGTGCGAGTGACTTGTAGGAACACGAGCCATCAGAATCAAAGGTGATTTATGACACTGAGCACATGGAAACGTGTGCAGTGCCCTGAAGTATTGCAGGCTGTACCTAAAAGACATTCGATAGTGGTTTCCCCAAGTTTGACCACCATCCTAAAGTTTACATGACATTACAGAGATAATGACTGGTGAGCTTGCAGGAAACTTTAAAAAATTATTATTGATAATAAATACTTTTCAACCAACTTGCTAGAGGGATATTGGAATTTTTAGTGTGCCTATAAAGGACTCATAGATACGGACAACAGTGTGGTGATTGTGGGGGAGCGAGTGGTATAAGGGGTCAATGATAATGGAAAATAGACAATAAGAAATAAAAAAAATGACACTGCAAAAGTATTGGTACAAAGAGGTAATATAGAGAATGCAGCCAGAACGGGGAAAATATTGCCAGGAAGATAGTTAATACAAGTTATTTTTCTGGATTGCACAATGTTTGTGTTACTTGCAGGCTGTTAGAAATTTGTTATTTGTAGTTATTTTGTTTTCCACTTCAAATAAATAGTCTTTCTTCTCAGTTTGTATTCTTTTTCCCCGAAGAATGTTTAAGCTCGAGGCTCCACACCTCTCAGTCAGCCCTGTTTCTGGGAGGGTAATGTTATTATTACCTTCTTACTAACATTACTTACTAATATGGGTGCCCACTTCCCATCTGTGGTTGCCTCTGTCTTGGTGACATTTACCCACAGTGTCAAGACTTGAGGAAATTGAAACTCCAAGAGGTTAAGTGGCTTGTCCCAGGTCACATGGCCATGGTCTGGGCTCCAAGATGCTCATCACCCAAACCTTGTGCTGCCTTCCCAGTGGCTTGTGATTGGGGTGTGTTTTTGCTTCTCTCTGCATTAGTGGAGGCGAGGCTGCTGATGGTCAGAGCCCTGGAGGACATCAGAGGTTCTCTGTCCTCTGCTCTTCACAGTCTTTTAGGCTGTTGCTTCTTCTGGAAGCGTTCCTTTGCTTCCTGGTGGTACAGGAGAGCTCCTGCACCTGGCTTCAGGTGAGTCTGCTCCTGGGGAAAAGTTGTACAAGCCTGCCTGTGGCTGGTCCTCACCTGAAAAACCAGGTTGCCATTTGTCACTGCTTTCACTCTGCCCCACCCCCCAGCCCTTACCTAGCAGTTTGGGGCTCTCCCAGATGAGAGAAGGTCTCAGGGATTCTGGGGAGGGTGGATTAGAGAAGAAGAAACAGCAGCAAGCTGATATGACCTTACAATGCAGTTGATGGGAAAGAGGGCGCCCAAGTCACGCCTCCTTCATCTGTTCACAGCTTTTCCCTCCAACAGCCCCTGACATGCCAACTGGCAGTTACTGCCGGGGTTTCCAGAATTTCATCCACATCTTCTCACACTGTGAAGGCCTCTCAAGAATGAGTGGCGTGGTATATAAACTCCTGGCATTTGGGGGGGGTTCCCAAATTGTCTCACATCTATCCTCTAAGTTACTGAGAAAAGAATATGGCCGTGTAACCTCCATGCTTGCTACTTTTGCTTTGTTTTATTTCAGTCATTATTAAAGGGAGAAGGTTTGAAAAATCTACACTTATACACTATCCACTATCTTTGCTGGTTTTGATTCTGATTTTTGCATCTTTACTCTCTCTGAAATCCCTCATTAACCCACAGATCTGACATGCTAACTTGTTGTCTTTGCATCTTATATTAGTTTCTCTTTGTAGCTTTCTCTTCTTGTTTCACAGAGGGCTTTGTGTCCTTTTGAGGATGCTGAATGTTTTTTAAAGTGTTCTTCAGGTTCCTGTAGTAGATAGTTTTAGAGGTCTTCTGTTTAAGGTTACATGATTATTTCTTTTCTGTTCATTTTTTTAAACTTATAATAATTTTTATTTTTTTCCTGAATATTTCATTTTTGACTGCAAGCAGGAGATGGCAAGGATGAGATGCTCTCAGTGTCTAAAACAGGTCTTACTATTTTAGAAGCTAGTGACACAGTTTTCTACTCGTTAGACACTATTTCAGGCTTTGGGGGTTGACATTGTAGAAGGAACACACCTGGACGACCAATTTCAGGCAGTTCACCAACTCTTTTTCTCCAGGTTAGAAGGGCATACAAGGGCAGTCTGTCATTTGCATTTTTAAATCCGTTTCCGTTTTCTCCAGGTGCTAGCGATAGTTTTATTGTGAACACTTGTTTCCATTTCTGTTGGAAGTTTTCGCATTTTCCAGGGTTTTCACAGGCATGGCAGTGAGTTTCTGAGAGAGAAACTCAGGAGCTTCCGGCCACACGCGTTTCAGGGGGAACGGGAGTTGGCCAAGGTCACGTGGCCAGCTGGTGGCAGAGCCGAGTCTGATGCAGGATTCCTTTCTCCCAGGCAGATCCTCAATCTTCAAGACCACCTGCTGCTCTTGTCCTGTCAGGGCCTGAGCTGTGATGTGATTTAGCAAGTGGTGGCTCTGTTAGAAGTTCATTTCCGTTCCAAAAAGCTTTGGCCTGAGGTAGAGTCGGGCTGGCAGCGGCTGCCCTCCCAGGTTCCTATGCCGGGCCTTCGCACATTAAAAGAAATGTGCGTAGAGCTAAAAGTTGCAGAGCGCTTGCCCCATAGAAGAGAAACAAGCTTATGTGTCCTGGCCATGAATTCCCAGGCATCGGGGAGTAAGAGGGCGGTGAGGCCGCTTGGAGGTCCCACGTCTGTTTTTTGTGCTTAGGAATCTTTGTGACTATCCCACTCTCTCTTTTTGAAACGTTCGTCAAAGACTACTTCCTTATTTATCAGGATGGTGCCCACTTCCCATCTGTGTGTGCCTCTGTCTTGGTGACATTTACCCACAGTGTCAACACTTGAGGGAAAGAATGGAAAGACTTAATGACTGAACAGGGCGACTTGCTAGCAAGGCTCTAATTGCAGTTATTCAAGGCACCGCCACCATCCCCGTGACCTGAAAAACATGCCAATCCACCATTCCTTTTGCACGGACCCAATCCTGGCACCCTGGCCATTGGAGCTGTAGCTTAGTTGAGGCTCCTTTATGCTCTGTCCTTAAAAAGCCTTCATCCCCCATTTAATGCACGTATAACGGGCCATGGTAGATGAAGCCCGGCTGGCCACCACAGACAGATTTGCCAAAGCGTAACTGTTCTGAGGGAGCTTCTCACACCAGCTGTACTGAGGATATTACTCAGACCCCAGTAAATATTTTATCTACCCAATTACCACCTTGATGATTTATATAACGTCGGATGCTATTATGGAATTTAATTGACTCTTTGGAACCCTGGTTTTTACTTTATGTAATTAAGTGTTAATATACTTATCAGCACTGAGTCCATAAACCTGTATCTGTTAACCAGTCTTAAAAGTTTCTGAAGCTTCTGTCTGTACCGTATGCAGTGGAGAGGTGATGACCTTTGAAGAAAGGGGACAGATTCAAAGTCCAGACATCTAGGGAACTTGGACCGAAGTCTTCTCTCCTTGGAGTCTCAGTGTCTTCATCTTTAAAACCAGAATGAGTGATCCCTGGGCCCTGGTGGTGGTTATGGGTAAGTGAGATTACGTGGAGTGGTAGGATTTAAGGGGGGCGAGGAATAGCTGCTCAGTAAGATCGCTTTCTGTGTTCGCCTTACGGATTGGTTGATGGAGCCCCCAGCACATTGTGCTGAGCCAGGGCGGGTACCTAACCTGCTCTGCTTCTCTCCGTGTTCCCATTGTCGGGTCCCCACACTAGAACGTGAGTGCCAGGAAGGAAGAGGGCACAGCTGCTGTTAATCCCTGCTCCATCTCTGGTGCCTAGAAAACGTCTGGCTCACAGGAGATACTCAATGTTAGATTAATGAATGACATTCAAGCAGGGGTTGAATTAGTTCAGAGAGGATAATGAGGAGGGAGAATGGCCAAACTGGAGGAGTTTACTGGTTTTTCAGGCAACAGACATTCTGATACAGTTGAGAGGGCTTGTGCTTTGGGGTCAGACTGAAAGTGATTCTGTTCCCGTCTCTGCCCTTTATAAGCTGTGTCACCTTGAGGAAGTTATTTAACTCCTCTGAGGCTCAGGTTCCAACCTTGCAAAGTCGTACAGTGACCCCCAGAGGGCAGCAAACAGGGCTGCTCTAAGGGAAAACGAGGCAGTGCTTGCAAAGTGCTCGGACCGCTCAGAGTTAAGGAGTGGGCACTGATGGCTGATTTTTCCCTTGGTGGGACTCAAGGAAGCTTCAGTCACTCTGCTGATATTCTCTCCCAGGGGTTTCTGATGATTCAAAGTGATGATTACAGGGGTCCACTTCTCGCTGGGCCAGGGGGGAATACCTGGCTGTGGTCTCTCCCAAGGCTCCTGAAGCTGGGTCACTCATGGTGCTGAGGTTTGGGGTGGGGTCAGAGGAAGCCATCTATGGACCATGGTACCGCACCTGACCTTGAGCCACCAGGACAGTGAGTGGAGATGCAGGAAGCTGACCTTGTTGGCCTCAGTTGTCAACTGAGGCTCAGGACATGTGGCTACTTTTCTGCTGAAAAAAATATTTTATGTTAAAAATAAGTCACTTTCAGAAAAAGAGGATTTTGGAAAGCCAGGTATTCCTGTAGCAGTAGCAACATTACCGGTCGCTTAGACAGTATGTCCCAGGGATTAAGCGTGTGGTGTTTGGAGTAGGACAGCTTTGGTTCAAGTCCCAATCCTGCCAACTCCTAGCTGTGAGATTTGGGGCATGTCATTTAACCGGTTCTCAGGTTCATCTTGCATGAAGGGTGGATAGTAATAGTACCCACCTCAGGGGGCTCCTTGAGAGTTAAATGAGATAATCCATGGAAATGGCTGAGTGTAGGGCACAGCACGTTGTAAGCCCTCAGTAGTAAATGCTGGCTGCTGTTATTATTGTTCCCCCTGTACAGGCGAGGAAACAGAGCCTCAGAGGTTTCTCTGATCCACCTGAGACCCCAGAGAAAGTGCCAGAACTAGACCTGTGCGCTACCCCCTGATGCCAAGCCTGCCCCCCTGACACTGAACCACACTCCGTTCAGGAGGCATTTATTGAGCTTCGCTTTAGCTCTCAAGCATCAGAGTGCCAGGCTCTTCGTTAAGTCCTGAGGACTCAGTGGCAGAGAAAACAGACACATCCTTCCCGCTCCTGTGGTCGGAGTACCTAAGGGGTCTCCCCAACAGCGCCATGGGGCAGAAGCAGCGGGCGGGGTGACAGAATTGGAGAAGGGAAGAGGCTGATTCCCACGCAATGCTCAGAGGCTTCTTTGAGAAGGCGGCCCTTGGTTTCTGATGCGGCAGGTGGCCAAAGCCAGCCGCATGAAGCCACAGGAAACCTGGGTGCAAGACCACTCCAGGCACAGGGACTGGCGGTGCAGAGACCCTGAGGCCATCCAGGCCTGGCCTTGGACCTCGGGACCTTCCGAAGATGACAGCTCCTGCCAGAAATCAGGATAGACCCATTCCTGTGTGTAGAGGAAGCCTTTGCTCACCTTTTCCCAACAGATCTGAAGTTTCCCTGACACGGGGTATGACCCGTGGCCATCTCTTTCTTTCATTGCTCCCTCCAAAATAAAAATAAAAAAGCCATTGCTGTTGTCTGAGCAAAGATGAAAGATGCTATTCTGGGTTCTGAGTGGGCAGAGCTCTGGCCCGGGGCCAGGGGAGCTGGGTTCTGTCCCAGCGCTGCACCCCTTCTTTGCAGCCTTGTTCTTTTTATGCCTGTTTCCCCACCTGTACAGTTGGGAGCTGTGCCAGATGACCCCTTCCCTCTTCAAACGTGGGGCTGCAGCAGAGTCCCTGAATCTGCTCCTGGAATGTTTTTTGGGACAAAAGATTCTGTTGGGTGGGGCTGCTTTTCAGGCCGGTGGGCTCTCCAGCGAGACTCCAGATTGAGCCGTCTGCCCTTCTAACCAAAGGTGAATGCTCTCTCCTCTGTCCTGCATCCTCTCCTTGGCAAGATGAGGCTGACCCCCTCATGGCCTCCTCCTTTGCTCCCGTTCTGGTCACAGTGCGTGGCAGCTTCTGTGAGGCTGCCTGGGGCAGGGAAGCGTGCCCTCCTCCAAACCTCTGCTCTGGGGTCTGCACGCAAAGCAATGCCTGGGAGATATGGGACTGGCGAGAAGACAGAAACCTGCCTGCCACACCCTGCTGTGCTCTCTTCCTGCACGACGTCCAGATGTAACCTGGTGAAGGACACAGTCGCTGCCTCACAGGGTGTCAGAAATCAAAGTGCCCTTTGAGAGGTTTTAAGTGACTACCTTCTGTTAGTCATGTGGGGAAACCTCTGGCCTGAGTGGTTAGGTGACTTACCCAAGGTCACCTGGCAGTAAGTGGTGATTAGAGTTGGGATTTATAGTACAGATCGGTAGCTTGTCACAGTAGGCACCAGTGATCCACCTAGGAAGTGATGGATCAACTCAGAGTTTCTTTAAAATCTGTTGTTTTTGAAATCATGTAACCTGAACACATACAGCATAGCTGTCTTTTCCACTTATAATTTATACCTTGGGATTTAATATTAATTGAACAAAACTTATTTGGCACCTACTATGTGCCAGGAACTATTATTCTAAGGCTTTACAAATGTTAAATTTACCCAATCTTTATAACATCCCCAAAGGATGAGCACTATTATTATCCTCATTTTACATATGGGGAAACTGAGGCATGTAGAGGTTAAAGAACTTAACCAAGGTCACACAGTTAAAAAAAATAGTACAGCTGGAGTTGACTCTACAGAAAGTCCACACTTCAACCCCTACCAATACTGCATCTCTGGGCAAAAGTCTTCCACCATCCAAGGTGGCCATGTCCAAGGACAGTCCCTTGTTGAACTTTCTAGTTTGCACATGGGAAAGCTGGAGCCCGGAAAGAGCATGAGAACGTTGGATCAGATTCCAGAACGTTGCTATTTCTGTTAGTCCTGACTTTTCCCCGCTCCACGCACTGCCTTGGACATTGGGGACACGTCTCTGGTCTGGAAGACACCCAGTGGCAAGTTCATTATTCTCCCTTGAAGCCCTGCTGCTATCTTTCCCCTTTGTTGTTTTCATTCCTGGATGTGTTATCATGGGCTAAATTAACCGCGGTTGCCACCCAGAGTCTCTGGGAGAAAGAACAGACACTGTCTCTCTGGTCCTTCGGCAATGTCCAAGCCATCAGAGAGACATCACCTTATTTACAATAAATTCACTGTTCAAAGAGATTGAAAACATTTTTTTTTTCCTATTAGGGCTATTGTTTCTATCTGTTGAGTCCACGAGTGTTTGACATTGGATGACTTTATAAAACATTCTACTAATTGGATTTGTTAAAGCAAATAAATCAAACACTAATTGGAACGTGCCCTGCCATTCTTTTTGCTTACTGAATTAGATATAATGGCGTGAAGGCCTTCTTATCATATTTGTGCACTTATTTAAATACCCCCCTGGCATACACTTCTGCAAATTCAATTAGATATTCAAAAAAGGAATTCAATTTATGCAAGGCTGGTTTTCATTCATTCAGGGGGCAAGATGTGCCTACCCACGACAGGCTGCTCACAATTAATAAGCCCCACTTAGAGATGGCCCTGCCTTCCAAGTATTCATTGGCACGAGGGTGGAATCTCGATGATTTGGGGGTTGGAGGACTATATTGCGAGAATGTATGTGTCCACAGAGCAGGGCTGGCCCTACAGGTGTGTGGCTTGTACAGTCACACAGGGCCTGGCACCCAGAAAGGCCCCTTGCTTAGTTTTATACTCTGCTTGCTATAGACCATCTTAATTTTTTCATTTTTTTTTTTAAGCAAGAGGCTCTGCATTTTAGTGTTGCACTGGGCTCCACAAATTTTGTAATTGAGGTCCGCCCTGGTTTCTCTGACCTTCTGCATCTAGGAAGAAGTCCCTGATTTGACATGTGGTGTTGAGTATGTCCTTCACTGCAGCTTTGGTTTCCTCATCTGTTAAATGGGAAGACTACTGAAGAACAACTCCTCACTGAAAAGAACACACTCTATAATGTAGGTGATGTAGTTATTCAAATGCAGGGAGCCACTGTGCTTCTCTCACTCCTTTATCCTACCTGCCAGGAGTGTAGCTTCAGACGTCATCCCGGGGTGGCGGGGGCATGCTCCCTTCCACTTCCCAGAGGAAGGAAGAAACATTCTACAACTGAGAAACGCGAAGGAGCTGTCGAAAGTACAACACTCAAATGGTGAAACAAGATGCTTTTCTGTGACTGTGTTAAAGTTGGAAATTTTCACAGCATCAAAGCCAAGGTCAGCAAATTGCAACTTGCAGGTCAGTTCTGCATCTTCACTGGTTTTTACTCAGCACATAAAGGAAGAATGGTTTCTCCGTGTCTAAATGGTTAGACAAATCACAAGAAGAATGCTATTTTGTGACGTGAGCATCACATGCAATTCAAAGTGCAGTGTCAATAAATCGAGCTCTATTAAACACAACTCTGCCATTTCTTCTGTATTATTTATGGCTGCCTCTGTGCTTCACTGGCATTGCGGAGTAGTAGTGACAAAGACTGAGTGGCCTACTGAGGTGGGCAGAATTCTAAGTTGGCCCCCAGGATTCCCGGCCCTTGCGGTTTATGTCCTGTGTCATTCCCACCCCTCGGGTGAGACTGTGAATAGGGTAGAAGAGTTCACTCCTGTGATCAGGCTCCGTGAGTGACAAAGGTGAAGGAGTTTTGCAGATGTAATTAAGGTCCCTCATCAGTTGACTTTAGTTAATTCATGAGGAGATAAGCTTGGCTGGGCCTGACTGAATCAGATGAGCCCTTTAAAAGGACCACGTCCTGTCCAAAGGAATAGGTTTGAGACCCGAGAGGGCTCAGGTCAGGGACTGTGGGCAGCTGCTAGGTGCCGAGAGAGGCCTGTGAATGACAGCCAGCCAGAGAGCAGGGACCTCAAGCCTATAACTGCAAGGAATGAATTCTATCAAATACCACATGAACTTGAACGAGGACCTGTGCTCCAGAAAGGACTACAGTTCCCCCTATGCCCTTGGCTTCAGCCTTGGGAGGCCCTGCGGAGAGAACCCAGCCCAGCCTTGCCTGGAGTTCTGACCTGCAGAAACCACGAGATGAGAAGTCGGCATTGCTTTAAGCCCCGGAGTTTGTGATAATGTATTGGGTAACAATAGAAAACCAGTACAGCCACAAGGTGGAAATCTGTACTGTCTTCTTATGTAAAATGTTTGCCCACCTGTGCATAAAAACAATACAAGCCACTTCTACGACGTTTCCCTTTTTCAGGCACCTGAACCATTCAGTCCTGCTAGGTCTTGAATCTGTCTCACTAGTTCCCAAGCGTCAGCTCCCTACACATCGGGTCACCATGTGAGGACTGACCTCCCTGACATTGGTTAAAAACTTATATAAATTTCAAGTATACTGCTTTATAACAACCGCTTTTCTGTATATTGTGTGCTCACCGCCTGAAGCCTAGTCCC